GTGAGAGAGAGGGGCCCCTGGACTAGCTGTGGCCTTTCCTTCTGGCCCCAGTATAAAGCCGTGCTGTAGGCCACTAGGAAACTGCTAGACTCCATCTCTCACAGGACCAGTCTGGGCAGCTTTTGTGCAGACTGACCTGTAGGTTTCATTATTAAAACTAAAATGTAAAGATGAGTGACTGGCGAAAGTACCACGTTTCAGCAAGGGTTCCTAGACATAGCTCAGCCTTGACATTCTCACTGCTTAACTTAACCCAGCCATAGATTTTCCCCTTCCAGTGTTTGTGAAATCTGATGTTCTGTTTCCTTAAATCATGATGCATTTGAAAGCTGGCCTCTACGTGGTAGTCAGTGACAGGGAACAGTAGCTATTTGATCTAAGAATTGCTATATGAACTAAGAAAAAACTTATGGGAAGCAAGATGGACTGAGTCAAAAAAACAGCTAGATGCTAGAGCTAACAGAACACTTCCGCTGAAAAGAAATTGTTTACCAGCCAATATTTACCCCATCGGGTACTCTGGCCTGAAGCCTGAGAGTTCTAAGAAAGGGAAGGAAGAGCCCTCTTACCATTAAACCTACAGGTGAATTGCTGAACATGGCATGCACATGAAACTTCCACATGCTCTATTAAACCACTTTCACGAGTACTTCAGCTTATAGGCCTTCATAGCATGACTATGAAGTCTTAGCAGCATTTTTTACAGTGTGTGTAAACTATTAGGATGCTTAAAATGAAACTGTATTCGAGAACTTACATACTTCCTTTCCTCTCTGGTGAGCTGTTGTCTTTCTCAGCATTTCAAACAGCTTGAAGAGGTCAGCCCTCTGGTACAGTGGTGTTCTGCATTCACAGGAACTTAGGAGCCTTGAAATTACTGTGGGACCTCTATCTCTGGCCAGAGCTGCCCTGGAGCACATTACTGGCTTTGCAAATCTGCATCATTACAGGCAACCCACATTGCCTGCAATGATTACCTAACCCGTTAAGCAGTTCTAATGCTACAATCCATGCTCTTGAAATAAGGTTTCTCCCTCTTTCCTTCCCTCCCTCCCTCGTCCAAGCCCCTCCTCCTCTCCTTTTTGTCACTGGGTTTCAATGTGTGATCTAGGCTAGCCTTGAATTTACAGCAGTCTTTTCCCGCCTTAACATAGAACTTAAAACGTATGTATTTTATGTGTGTGTATTATGTATTCTTATGTTGTATATGCCTTCCTTCACATTCCCTACCAACTATCCTCTTCCTCTTCCCATCAAACCACTTCTTCCCAACAAGCCCTCCACCCACTTTTTTTCTTTTCTTTTTGTGGCCAACAATGTGATTATAGTCGCTTGCATTAATGAGTAGGGGCTATTTATTTGAAGAGGGAAACTCACTACTGAGTAGTCTCCCAAGGAACATGCCCCTTCCTCTAGCAACCGTTAAGTGCCTGGAGCCTCTTAGGGAGCTGTGGGGGCTTTTGGGTCCTTTCTGTATCTATCATGTAATAGTGATAGGCCCAGTCTTGTGTAGGAAGCCACTAAGGCAGCGAGCTCATGGCTGCTACAGCCACGTCATGTCCAGAAGACAGCGCTGCACACCATTTTCCCTATCTACCTGTCTTTACATTCTTTCTTCCCCCTTCTTCCGTGAACCTCTCTTTTGAAGCGTGAGATAGATGTCCCATTTAGGGCTTGAGTAACTGTGTAAGCCTGTAGCATTTTAGGTTTTAAAAGGAGCTATGTAGTCTGAGTATGGGACTGTCTTAGCCATAAGTGGCTCACGGTAGATGGTTTGCATGTACTCTTCTAAGTATTGAGATATCCCACATTTCTAGGAAGACAAGTACTAAATTGTGAGAAAGAAATTTATTTCTAGGAGGGTATAACAGGGGACAGTTTAGCTATCTGTGCTAAATGTAAAGATAACATTCTTGTTATGATGGTTCCTTGTGCATTCGGTCAGGTAGAGGACACTGTAGGAGTCTCCCATCTACCCTGTGTGCATGTGTGTGCATTTGGTCAGGTAGACTGCGCTATAGGAGTCTCCCATCTTATTCTGTCTTGATCATTTAGGGACAGTAGCTGCTGTCAGTTTCCTGTGAAGAGTCTTTGAGCGGAACATTTCTTTCTCAAAGTGATGTGTCTTTTATAATGGAGAGATGGCAAATAGGAGGAAGGGTAATGAGAATATGTTGTGTAAATACATTTGTATCTTGTGGGAATTTTATCAGAGCCAAGAAAATATGGGTCTCTCCTGTGTGATTTTGCATATATCCAGCATCTTGTTTGCATATGCATTTCTTCTTCTCTGGTTATTTACTTGTACATCCTGCTCTACTATATGAGATTTTATAGAGCACATAGCTGTCTGACAGCAGAGTTTTGTTGTTTCAGTGAATGTTTGGTTGGTGCATATGGTCTGACATGGATGAGCAGCCACGGTGAGATTTCAGAGTCTATTAAAGTGGCTCATTAAAAAGATCAATCTGTTTCTGTAATAACACTGGGAGTCATCAGTCACTGGAAGAGGGAAAAACTGACACCTGAGGAGAAAACACATTTTGATAATTTGTTCATGACATGTCATGAACAAAAGAGTGTTCTGTATTTTGTTTACAACTTTGGGAGGTTTAAATTCTGTGATGATTGCCAAGCTAATGTGTTTCAGGGATGGACTTTGACAAGCTGAACTTTATTCTCATCCCTAGATTTATTTTCACTGGCTATGATTTTTTGTTTTTTTGTATTTTTTTTTAAACTATCATTGTTATCTTATGTTATTTGATACAGTCTCATGTAACAGGCCAGCCTCAAACTCTCTATGTAGCCAAGGAAGATGTGAAACTCCTGGATCCTCCTGCCTCTACATTTCAGGTGTTAGGGTTAGAGACATACACCACTGAGTGTGGCCAGTGTGATTGTCACAGAGAAGTTTGTCCTCTAGGGAAGTTTGGAACCATCCTTTGCATGTTTCTATATAGAACAGTAGAATGCTTTATAGTTCTTTATAAGATTTGCCAGGGGAGAATCCCTATACTGAATTTGTACGTCTGTGGAAGAATACTATAGGGCCTAAAACAAACAAATAAACAAACCCCCCAAAACTAATTTTCATTTTAAAATCATGCTTTTTTTTTTCTTCAAAATATTGGGGAAGGATAATTTTGATTTGCACAGGATGTTTACTCTCATTTCTTTCTTTCTGGGTTGTTTGTTTTTTTTTTTTTTTTTTTTTTTTTGGAGACCTTCCTCTTTTGCCATTTTGTAGTAAGTCATATAGAAAGGGATGAGGCACGACTTTATTTTTTTAGTGAATCAGTTACATATAATGAACAACTAAAGGGAAGTTAATCCCCGGTAAACCAGCCCTGATGGCTCATCAGGCCTGGGTAACAGCAGAGGGAGTGAGAAGGGGAAGAACAGGGAGGGCTTCATTTCATGGACACTGCACAGCAAATTAAAACGAAGGTTTTGGAAAGATGCTGGTGTCACTGTTGACTTTCTCTTCCCAGAGTCTTGGTGTAGCAGGTGCCTGCTCTGCCTTGAATATCACATCACCACCTATGACTCTTCCTCAATGAACTGTTCTCACTTACAAAAGCCAATGGAATGATCTTTGCTTTTGGATAGGGACCACTGCTAGTTTGCTTCCTGTTAACCCACTCAGATGATTGCTCCTGGGCACCAGTTCTCTCTGTCTTTATCATCATTTTGATATGACTGTGTTTCTCAGTTTAACACTCTCAGACTTTTACTTCTGAAGCTGTAGAGGTAGATAAACATGCACCCCCTAAACATATCATAAAGCAACTTGTTTGAATCATGAACTGACATAATTTGCCACCTGGGAGGGGATATCATGAATGGATGAAGTCAACTGCTTGTCTTCATACTTGAGGAAATTGTTCAAAGTCACAAAACTTCCTAAGGGAGAAGTAGTTGTATTTATGTGCTGAAATCTTGCAGTTGTATAAAATATGTTTGAAAGTGCAGAATTCAAGTAAGGAAAACACAGTCAAGAACTGGAATTTTTCTTCATTCTCTAATTCACTTCTTTTTCTGTAATTGCAGACATATATAAATGGCACAGCAAAATGTTCTAAGGGTTTATGTCTATTTTAATGATAGAAAAATTCATTATGATCCAGATTTCCTGACTTAATGACTAGTTACTAAATGCTGAAGGTTAGAGATCAGAAGGCTACAATTTTGAAACTATGTTGGTTGACTCTGTAAGGTTTGGTTTGGTACCACCTTACTTGCTAACTGAACTGAGTATGTTCATTTACCCTTAATAAAATGAATGAGGGTTTAATCTTTTTGATTTTCTAAAAAAGAAAATATAGGTATACATTAGGGGAAAACTGCATGATCAATCAACTGTATAACTGCATTTAGGATCCCATGAAAAAGTAGGATTTTTTTTTATCATATGTCATATGATTTTCACATTTTATTTATGAATTTCCCAGCTTCATTGTAACTCTTAGAAGGCTTTTCTTCTCTAGTGAGAGACAGAAATAGTGGGAAGGAAGGAGAGAAGGGGCTGGGAGGGGAAACTGTAACCAGGAACCACTCTATGATAAAAGAATTGATTTGTAATGGAAGGGGAAAGCTAATGGTCTCATCTGTGTATGTTCATTGAAACTCGGGGTGGTACATTACATATACTAATACCTAAAGCAAAAAGAAAACAGTCCCCTCCCACTTGAAAAGTAATTCAAGCTAACCGTACTACAGTTATTTCCAATAGTACATAAAATTACTTCTTACCCCATTAATCTTTATTTATTTGTTTGATTTTAAAAGTTGTATCTCTGAAATGCGTGAATGAACACAGCCATAAATGGCCCATGAGCCAAATGTGGCTCAATGACCAGGAGAAAGCGGAGGGCTCCAACTAGAGTGTACAGATGCCAAGTTAGAACATGAAGGCAGCAAGAGAAAACACTGGATATTTCTGCGGTGGCAGAGACTGGAAGATGCAAAGGGGACAGTCAGTGACACTCTAGCTGTTG